ACCCCAAATTTCACAAATTATTCAATTTTGACCCAAAACTTTTTTTTTCAAATTTTTTTTGTCAAAAAAAAAGTCAAAAAGAAGCAAAAAAAAAAGTCTACGCCGGAAACCGGCGAAAATATCCGAAAGAAAGAAAGAAAAAAAAAAGTTGAAAAGTCAACGCCGGAATATGGCAGCAAAAAAAAATTTTTTGAAAAATTTTTATTTTTTGAAAAAAAAAGTTTTGGGTCAAAATTGAATAATTTGTGAAATTTGGGGTCAAATTGAGATTAAATTAAGTTAAAGATGAAATTGGAGCATATTAAATTATGCTCCAAAAAAAAGTCAAAATTGAATTTTTGTGGTCAAAATTGGATTTTTGTGGACAAAATTGATAAATTAGGGTTACAATTAAGAATTGAGTATAAATAGTTGAGGGTAATATTGGGATATACATGAATGTTTCCTTTAGTTATAACAAATATTAAATGGATGAGCTTATTGGTGAAAGATATATGTCCCCCAACCTAGAATAATAAACATGCTTGGTTGGGGACTTTTGTATAAAAATCCCTATATATAAAGCAGTTTCGGGAGCTTTCATGAAATACAATTTGCATGCATCTATCTATCTTTAGCTACCAAACCAAAATGAATCATGATCTTGTACTTTTTGCTCTCACGGCCGTCTTCTTTCTTGCCGCGTCCATCTTTTGGTATTCATGGGTGTTTAAAAACTCAACGCCGCCGCCGCTGCCACTTCCACCAGGGCCACGTGGGCTCCCGATCGTGGGGTACCTCCCATTTATGAAGGCCGACTTGCACCTCCAGTTCACAGAACTGGCGCACAAGTACGGCCCCATTTACAGGCTCTGGCTCGGCAGCAAGCTCTACATCGTGGTCACTTGCCCCTCGCTGATAAAGCAGGTGGTCCGCGACCACGACACGGTGTTCGCGAACCGGGACCCGCCCGTTGCGGCCCTGGTCGCAACGGGCGGGCTCGACATTCTGTGGGCCCCCAGCGGGCCCTACTGGCACGACATGCGGAAGCTGTTCGTGAGGGAGCTGCTGAGCGCCGGCAACCTCCTCGCTTCCTCCTGGCTCCGCAGGGAGGAGGTGGCGAAGGCTGTCGGGAGTCTGAGCACTATGATCGGCCAGCCTGTTGAGATCGGCGAATTGATATTCCGGACGGAGTCTCGTGTGATACTGAGGTTGATTTCGGGTGGTGGGAAGTACATGGGAGCTGAGATTCAAGAAGCGGTGGCGAAAGTCGTGGATTTGTTCGGAAAACCTAATATCTCCGATTTTTTTCCAGGTTTGGCAAAGTTTGATGTTCAGGGGATCGCTAGAGAGATGAGGGATGTTGTGTCGGCGTTGGAACAGATTCTTGATTCTATTATAGATGAAAGAATCAAGACCATGGCTGCAGATGGAGAAGGTGAAGAAGAAGATCAAAGAAGAAAGGACTTTGTGGGAATTCTTTTAGAGCTCAAGGACCAGAAAATTGGGGGAAACTCATTATTTGGTCCAACTCAAATAAGGTCCATCTTACTGGTAATTTATCTAGTTTCTTACAAAACCTTTTTAGAGCTTATTACATTTACTACCCCTGTGAAAATTACAACCGTGCGTTTTTCCCTTGTCAAATTACCCAAAAAAGACCTTGTATTTAGATTTAGACAGCATACTTGACCAATTTACATTTTCTCCATTGACCGGTTGTAAAAGGACCGAAGTATGCTGGGGGTTTTTGCAAAAAATTAGGGGACCAAATTGAAGTTTTGAAAAACTTAATCAAATAAGTCAAGGGACTGAATCGTAATTTTAGGAAAAATACATAATATTTATAAAATAGTATGTATTTCGTTTATTTCATATTTTTATAAGTACCAAATATTTCTTTTAAAATATTTATAATTTAATAAAGTTAAATCAAAGAAAATGCGAAAAATATATTTTAAAACAAAAAAAAAACTTATTTAAAAAAGAAAAAAGAAAAAGAAGAAGAAGTTGAGGGCAGTTCTATCATTTCACAAAATAAAACGTAGGAAAATCGCATAACCCACGAGTGAGACACATGATTTGCGGCCAGAGCGATGTTTCCCTTTGACTAATAAATACAGGGGGAGTTTTGCTAATTCTTTTATAAGGGGAAAAACGCACAGTTGCGATTTTAACATGAATGGTAAATGCAATAAGCTCAAACCTTTTAAGTTATGACATTAAAGTTTTCCCTTATCATATGCATCGGATGATAACAGAAAAAAATAAAGAAAATTGTCATTATTTACTTATTTAACTCAAGAAATCAACTCTATCCATCACCATGCAATACAGGATGTTATTCTTGGGGGTACCGACACCACAACAACAATTGCTGAATGGGTGATGACCGAGCTTTTGCGCAATCCCGACGTAATGAAAAAGGTGCAGCGAGAACTAACAGACGTCGTAGGAGCGAACAACGTTGTCGAAGAATCCCACTTGCCCAAACTCCACTATCTCGAAGCTGCCGTAAAGGAAACGTTCCGCCTGCATCCTCCGCTTCCTCACCTCGTACCAAGGTGTCCGGCCGAGTCTTGCACTATCGGAGGATACACAATCCCAAAAGGCTCTAGAATCTTCTTGAACATGTGGTCCGTCTACACGGACCCCAATGTGTGGGACACTCCTTTCGAATTTCGGCCCGATAGGTTTCTGAATAATGATAGTGGAAAAAAGTTTAGTTATATCGGGCACAACTTTGAGTACCTCCCGTTTGGATCGGGGAGACGGGCGTGCCCCGGTCTTCCCCTCGGCGAGAAAATGGTCATGTTTTTACTTGCTACGCTCGTTCATTCGTTCCAGTGGCAATTACCTGCCGGCCGAGAGATTGACATGTCGGCGGAGTATGGTATTGTCATGAGGAAAAGAAGGCCGCTTGTTGCTATTCCTTACAAGCGAGATTGCCAAATGTGAAATGTTACGTAACTCTTTTGATCGAGTCTTAATAATCATCGTCGTATTGTATTAATATATATTACGTACCCACACTTTTCAACTACTTATGGCGAACTCTCGTCAGTCTTGTGTCTTATTACATCTATGTATGTATGTACGATACTTTCTATTTATAATACTTTAGGCGTGTGTACTTTCATTATGTATCATGCACTTTAATTTAATAAATTGAAAGGAAACACTTTTAATAACTGGCGATGGTTTTGGTGTCTACGAAATTATTCAAGAAAGAGCTTACTACCATATCTTAGATACAAATACGGATTTGAACTAGTTTTCGACCCTGCAAAGTAGGTTGGCTTTATTTCTAGAGGTTTTAGCATCCCGCACCCTTGTGTTAATTTCTAATGGTTAAAAAATTCTCTCTGAACAATTAGCACATACCCCGTGTTACATAGTCAACGATATTATGACCCCTACGAGTTGGTCGTGAGAATACACTCGCCAAATATGCGGCTGGGGTTCGATTTTTTGACTTGAAAAGACCCAAATACCCTTAACAATATAAATTTAAGAAATAAGCCCCAAATAAAGTTTTCATTTTTTTCAATTCAATCCTTTGAAGTTTCAGAAAATCCCTCTTCTTCCTTAAGTCATGGACTAATTTGCAATTTTCCAAAAATAGACTGAACATAGCTGACTTATTCATGGGTTCTCTGTGATGTTTGATCATCAGAAGTATTATTAGTCCTTGTAGCCTTGTAGGGAACTATGCGATGAAACCCTCCAATTTTGCACTAGATTTAAATCTATGGCGGTGGAATCAAGAAACGAAGAGGAAAGAGGATTAATGCAGCTGGTTGATGATGATGAAGACTTGGGTCCGTCACTTTACACCTATACTGCACGAACACTTCTAGAAGGTGAAGAGTCCCCGTATCCGATACCTGGACACTTGGACACACCCGGATACTTTTCGGACACCCGTGTCGAGCCGTGTCATAATTTCGCTAAAAGTAGGACACCCGTGTCGGGCAGTGTCCACAATTTTAATGAAGTTGGGACACCTCTCTTACGTTTGAAGAAAGAGTCCTAATAAAAAAAAATGCGCATTTTCTTTTCTCTGTAATACACATTTCCTCTGTTTTCTTTGTGAATTCACCAAAAACTCCAAAAGTCTAGCATGCGACGGCGACCAAGAACACGAGCAACAAGGGCGAGCAGTTCTCTTATGCGATGACGACTTATACATATTTTTTCCAATTTATAAATGTACCTCTATATTTTTATTATTTATAAATATACCCCTATATTTTTTATATTTACGCGTATCCCCTGCGTGTCCGTATCCTAGTTTTTTAGAAATACCGTATCACCGTGTCCGTATCCGCGTATCACCGTGTCCACGTATCCGTGTCCGTGCAGCATAGCTTTACACTATTCCCATCTCCATTCTTTATTTATTTGAAATACAAAATTAAAATTCAAAAAAGTTAAAAAATAGAAATATTTATGTTTATTATATTCATTATTCTCATAAGGATAATATAGTCATCTCATCGCAGTCAACCCACTTTATTTGGATAGGGGGTGGTGGGCTAAATAAAACCCATCATAGGGGTCACTGCTAATTGAGTTAACATGTGTGTTTTTTTTTTTTTGAAAATTAGACTTTTCAAATGGGTTGTATGCAATTAAGTCGTTATTTCTATGCTGTAACAAGTGAAGATTACACTGATTGATTTTTTATCGTTGATCTACACACACCAACATGGATGTGTGTGTTTGAGTGTATATAAATGGTAAATATTTACCCATTGTATAGCACTCGGTATAGCATAGAATAGACCCATTCCGACCAATTTGATTACAATTGATGTAGTTAGTTATTTAGAACTAGGACCACTAAACACGTGTAAACAGTATAAAATCCTCCTGTGTTAAGCAAAATTTGCACCAAATCTTCATGTGTTTGTTTTATTTCATAAAACTCCAATATTTTGTTTTTCTTTGCATGAGATCCCCTTTTCCATTAATAGTTAACGACGTTAACCATAAAGGGGGTTTTATGCATTTTTTTCGTAACATAGTGGCATTTGGTTCATGTTTTCTATAACACATGGCATTTGGATCATATACCCTATATACTACACATAAATATAAAAATCCTCCTACTGTTACATTTTTTCCAAAATCTGATGAAAATACCCCTGCTAAAGCCTATAAATATAAGGGTTTGTTTGAGTCATTTTCCACTATAATTTTTTTAACATTTTCGGTCAATTTTACTTGGGAAATTTTGGTTTTTTTATTTTTTTTTCTACAAAACATCTAATTGCTTAGATTTTTTTTTTTCTGAATATAACCTTTTATTTTTGTCATTTTGAATTTTTTCATTTTTTTTCTTAAATGTCTTTCGGTAGTTCAAATTCTCAACAATCATAGGTTTGTAAAGATGTTTACCTTAGGATGTTTGAACTACCGGAAGACATTTAAAAAAAATGAAGAAACTCAAAATGACAAAAATAAAAAGTTTTATTCAGAAATTAAAAAAATCTAAGCAATTAGGGTTTCGGAGAAAACAAATATAAATACCAAAATTTCCCCAAGTAAAATTGATTA